TAGGGTGGGGGGGGGTCGTCAGGAGAGGGCAGTCAGGAGACAGGTAGGGGGATTCTGATGGGGGCGGGAAGTGGGAGGGGACGGGGCTGGGGCGGGGCTAGGGCGGCACCCCGTGTCCTCTTTTTTGATTGTTGAAATATGGTAACCCTACAGATGTAGGAGCCCCAAACCTCTTCCTCAACTCCTTTAAAGGGTGCTAGGAAAAGGAGGGGGGGTTGCTTCCCCTTGTACGAGATATAGGGGCCCCAAAACCCCTTTACTCAGCTCCCTTAAGGAATGATTTCCTTCCAAGCCTTTTCCAATCCATGTTATCTGATACCTGAATTCCTCCCATACCGAGTACCTGCACTGGATATCCACAACAAGTTTTATGTAGTAAGTTGCGACATTATAACCTAACCCTCTTACTCTACCCCACTGGGTCTCAAACCAGCTGTTGGAAAGATGACCCCCCACACACACACCTTGGTCAATCTGTCAGTGAGGGAAAAATTCCTTCCCAGTCCTCCCGCACCCTCCAAGGAAAAGAGCAACTAGCATAATGTCCACACCAGGTCAAGGGGGAATCCGGTCCTTTTGCCATATTCAGGGTGGGTGTATGCTGCCACCTTGATCCTCATAAAGAGGCCTCTGCAGGGTTGCATGGGGTATAAATATCCTCCCACTCTTCCAATAAGCAGGAAGGGCAGTGCAGTTACTTTCTCCTGACCTGGGAACAACTGCTTCCTGCCCTTCCTGTCCATCCCTGTAAACATTCCCCTTTCTTCCCACCCATTGTAAGAAATTCTTAAAGGAGCAACACCCCTTTTCTTCCCATCTAACTGGACAAAAAAAAACCCTTGCATGAAGCTTGCGGTGGACACATTCTCAGTATTAAATTTTCCAAAGGGGGTAGGAGCAGAAATATGTCCAGACACCTTCAGAAATTCCTACTGGGGCAGTACACCTCACAGGGCTATGTGTCTATGCTGTAGTGGAGTCCTTAGTATACAGGGAATACCTCAGTAATGCCAATCATGTTACAATGTTGTGAGTCAGCAATTGAAAAGCTATTTTATATATGCACGCAGCACGTGCCCAATACTATGGGCTGAATCCTACAATCCTTTCTCCTTAGTTGGGCACCATTCCCATTGAAGTCAATGGGTGGAGTGAATAAGGACAGCAAAATTTGACTCTACGTTAATGCAATATCAATGCCCAGATTTTAACCACAAATTTCAAGAAACTCAGAGTGAAAGGCAAACGAATATTAAATGAACATTTACAGTGCTACACATGAGCATGAGAGAGTGTGAAAATGAGAGACTACTTGGTGATGTAGTGCACTGTGGTTATAAAGGTTTCAGCAACCCCAGTTTTGGTTGGCTACATTAATAATGAATGGTGAAGACCAAGGGTCAGCAACCTTTAAGAAGTGGTGTGCCAAGTCTTCATTTATTCACTCTGATTTAAAGTTTTGCGTGCCAGTCATACATTTTAACGTTTTTGGAAGGTCTCTTTCTATAAGTCTATAATATATAACTAAACTATTGTTGTATGTAAAGTGAATAAGGTTTTTTAAACGTTTAAGAAGCTTCATTTAAAATTAAATTAAAATGCAGAGCCCCCTGGAGCAGTGGCCAGGACCCGGGCAGTGTGAGTGCCACTGAAAATCAGCCCCCATGCCGCCTTCGGCACACGTGCCATAGGTTGCCTACCCCTGGTGAAGACAATACCAGGCTAGACAGAGCATCCCAAATGAGTGTCAGTAAAAGCTTTATACCACACTAATTCTAATTCAATTCAGAAATGTTATAGAGAGTTTTAAATGTTTTAGTAATACTATTTTTCATAGGCCCTCCACCTGTAAAAGCCAGGCTGCCATAGTTAATCATTAATTCCTAGTGAGCAAGCCTTAGAAAGGGAGAGAAAAATATGACTAATTAATATATGGAACCTATAAAAATTATCTACTTAAACCTAGCCTATGTCTGATCTATCTACCTATTAAGCTTTTATACCATGCTTATCACCATGGTAGAGAAGCATTTATTATCCGTCTTCCTTCCACTCCAGCCACGGGAGCTGAATCAGTGAGGTGAGTTTGCCTATTGCACCATATTAAAGTGTGTATCAGTGGCTAGTGCTCGGTGCTGTACACCAATGCTTCTTCCAGTGCAGCTGTGCTGATTTATGCCAGCTGAGAATCTGACCCATTGTGTCTGCCCCTGGCACTATTGACTCCAGGAGCTGCTACCCGACTGCTGGCTGTGTCTAAAAGGTGCAATAGAACCATTAATTTATAAAAAATTAAAACATTGAGTGCATTGTACAAAGATGTTTAGAGATGATTACTGTCTGCTCAGCCTTGTGTATTCAAATGACTAAGCTTATAGGAATAGGGATGGCCCAGGGGTTAGGATGCTAGCCTGGGACTTAGACGATATGGGTTCAATTTCCTGCTCCATCACAGACCTCCTGCATGATGTGTTTCTGGTCCCCTCTGTAAAATGGGGGTAATGGCATTTCCCTCCATTACAGGGGGCTGGTGAAGATAAACACATTCAAGACTGGAAAACACTCAGATGTTACAGTAATGGGGGGGGCCATATAAGCACCTTAGATAGACAGGAACGAAGGATTTGTCAAGGTGAGCAATGCATATATTAAGGTAGTCAGTCAGATCTCAATTCCTGGCAATAGAAAAGGTTGTAAAGATGGAACAAAAATTAATCTGTGTATTTTCCTCTTGAAAGTCAGAGAGATGCTTACAGTGTATGGGAGTAGCTTCCTTTTTCACTCCCCACTCAGTAAGAATTCAGGCTGTGAATATCATCTGTGGCTGTAAAACCCATTTACTTCGTGTTTGTTCATCTGACCAGTAATCTCAAATTCCATTCAATCTGCACAGATTTCAGTTGTTTGCCTGATAGCAACAACTCTTGACTATGACCAGCTGGGCGCTATGAAATCTCTCAGAACACTGAGGGCATTGCGGCCCCTCCGAGCCCTGTCCAGATTTGAGAGCATAAGGGTAAGGGTATCTTTTAGTGTCTATCAAGTATGAGCACTTTTAATGCTGAGCACCTTCTAACTTTCCTTACAGGAAAATAACATAGAATCTTCTCTTTTAGGTGCTGTGTGGGGATCCAGATAACGGTGACAATGGAAAGAGTCACACAAATTATATACATAATTCTTTTAAAGAGTCCATAATAAACTCAGATCCAGTGGCAGGTTAAGGGGAGATTTTTTTAAATTGGTATTTAGGATTGATAATTCAGTCGACCATGGCAATCTTAAAATCTTCTACTGATTTAATAAATCATTGGCTCTTGCAGGATCTTAAAGTGATTCATTGGGAGAGCACTAAATTGTAGCATTTACATGATTTAATAATACTTCTAATGATAGATACACACACACCTCTGTCAGCTATAAACTAAATAGAATATTGCCGCCACAGAATAGTATTTTTATAATTGTAATCTCCCCTTTTTCTGACCAAAAAGGTCCTGTTCACATTACTAGGCACCTGTGTGCTTCGCTAGAAGGAAATAGACTCTATTTCTATGAGTTTACATTAAATTGGAACAAAGGCTTTATATTCTGAAGGCATCATGGAAAGAATTGTGTATATATCTGGATGTTAAAACTTCTTTTCTTTTTGCATTGATCTAATTCGATATCTTCCATTTAGGGTATTTCGTCATTGTCCCACTAACAGGTTTTTTCTTTTCAGGAAGGAAAGGCAGAAGAGAAGTAAAATGGTAGGATTGTGCTAATAGCTTGGACTTTTGCTTTATGTCTCCATTCAGGTCTCTTTAATAAGCCTCATAGCTAACTCACTTGGATACTCCGAAATGGGTCCTATTAAATCCCTTAGGACTCTCCGAGCTTTGAGACCATTAAGAGCATTGTCACGATTTGAAGGGATGAGGGTAAGAGTAAACAAAGCAACCATCGAAGCCCATCTGTGTGAACATCAAGCATGTAAAAGGGCCATATTTCTTTGGTTTTGTTTTCATTATGACTGCAAAGGAAATGAATGATAATGCTGCGTGGGGAAAAAACCACCTCCATTGTATTGATTGCATTAGTATAGCTGCAGCTTTTACTCTCTGGTGGATTTCATGATAAGCTAATCCCGCTGCATAATTTGTCATACTATGTTTTAAAAACAACTTTTTGGCTGAGGTAACATCTGGCTAACAATTGTCTCTTTAATTATGAGGCACATCAGGGAAAATAATTTTGCTACAGGTTTGCTCCTGCTTCCAAATTTTATTAAAATTAGAATCAATCACAAAGTTGTTGAGGACTTTTTAACTAATAAAGAAAATGAACATTAGAGGCACACTATGTATGGAAAACAAATGAGCAAATTCACAAAAACTTTCCTCTAAAGTATTTGAATTTTAATATAGAATGCCAGGATTAGCATTGTAAGCATGTGACTTGTGTTCATTGTTCTATCTTGCATGTCTATCCTCTCCCATTTGCATTTTCTTGAATGTATGGCTGTATCCACCAGTATCATACATATTTATTTGTGCTTGATTAGCATAGCAAGTATGTTTAAGTATCTGGAGTTGGGCTTTGTTCTTTAAACTATTTTTATCATGCATGACTATCAAATGACAATAGCTGCATTCTGTACCAGTCAAAGGTACCACTAATACTGTATATCACAAGGCAAAACAAAACAAATCTCTGTATGGCACAACCTGTAACATTTGGGAGTATATAAGGTACCAACTTAAGCACCACTTCCAAGATTTCTGATTCTGATATATGTAAAATTACATCTGTCCTATCTGGAGACACCAAATCCCTAAACTATGTCAAGGAAAATGGTACGGTGTTAATAATAAAATCAATTTGGAATATGGCATCTTTTGCCTCTAGATCGCAAGTTCAAATTCAATATAAGTCACTAGCAATCAAAAGTCTATACAGTCCATGTGCAACAAGTTGGTGGTTTCAGCTGAAGTCCTAGTGGTCCAGTTTCCATATCATAATCATGCCATAGTAAGACAGCCAGAGGACTGAATGAGCCTAGAAATTGAGCTAACCCTATAAGTAGTTAAGTACATTGGTGGAGCAGTGTGGGGCATCCAAATTTGAACTGTTTTGGTTCAAAACACTGCATTCTTCTTAGTGAACCCAAACAATATCGGATTTTAAAGAGTATTCACACACAAAACAGTGCATAGGCTTAAGCTGCCAGATCCCCAGCTGGTGCAGCTCTACTAAAGTTAATAGAACTACTTCTGTTTACACCAGCTGAGGATCTGGCCCCATATTTTTATTAAGTATGGGTTGTGCCATATATCCAGCTTCATCTACTACAGGCCACATTGCTTTACCACATTCAGGAGCCCTAGCAGGAAATATGGTGCAACTGAGAGGGACAAAGATCTGATCTAGACTCATAGTTGCACCAGTTTAGCTAAAGGTGTGATTTGTGCGTGGACATCTTAAATTGATTTAGACCTGACTTACATTGGTTTAGCTTAAGTTGGTAAATATACAAGCTCAATCAAAACCCATATAGCCAGTTTTAAAGTATTATAAGAATATCCATACATAAGTTTGTATTGGTTTAACTAAATGGTTGTTAAACCTAGCAACTTCTGTGTGTAATCCAAGTCCAAAGTATGGGGCATTTGAGAGGCTGAAAAACTGAGAGAGTCGAGAAACACTGAAGGAAGGTTGGGTGGGATGTTTACTGAGAGCTGGAGAAGAAGTTGGTTTGCTGTAAACCTGCAGGAGAAGACCATTTTCTATTACATCAGTCCCAGAAATGCTGTTCCTAAAATGCCCATATTCAGGGGTATCCCAGGTTTTCTGACACAAAGTTCTTGTTCTCCCTACCCCGTAGATATAGTTGGAATGTGTACAGTCTTTGTGCCTCCTTTTTCTGAGCTATCAGAGGTACTGAATTAGCTTGTAAACTATGATAAAGTATCATTGAGAATACGTTCCACTGGAAAATCAAATTATTATATTTTTAGCATGTCTAACCATACTTACCATGGCTAGGGACAGTAAGACCTTTCATTATTAGGAACTCATATGCTCCAGAATGCACAAGGAAAATTACCAGAGGAGATAACATTAAATAATGTTAATGTTGAGACGCAAACACATAGAGTAAGGAGATGATAATAGTTTGTGTTTGTGTAGTGCCTTCAGTTAAGGAGCTCAAAGTACTTTGCAGAACTAAGATGTAAGCAAGAAAATTCTCATAGGGTGCTTCACTAAACTATATTGTGCCTAGGCTTTGAAGTCAATTGGTCCTGACTAAAAGATAGAGAGGTAGACAGGTGATTTGGGGCCAGTGAATTAGAGGCATTGATAGGTTTGGAGGGGTGGTGTCTGCAGGGTCCCACCCACACAAGGGCTCCAAGATTGCATGGCAAACGGACCTGTCATGACTAGACTTCAGAGTGGCCAGGCCCCATGCCCTCCACATCCCATTTCTTCCTGTCTGGCAATGGGCTGAGTTCCAGTGCAGGCAGAAGAAATCCTCAGCTTGAACCAGCCCAACAGAGGGTTCTAGAAGTTAGGAGAAAACTACTTTCCAGCTATCCAAAGAGAAACCCTGTGGAGGCGGCCTCCCACAGGGAAACTGCAGCAAAGCCTTCGGCTGGTGCCTAGGGGTAGCCTAATGGTGCATGCACAGCTGCCAAACCCTGCTGACAAAAACTGTCTAACTGATAGATCTCAAAAAGTAATTGTAAATGGGCAATTGTTATCCAGTGATGTAATGTTTCTAGTGTGGTCTCAGGGATCTGTTCTTGACCCAAATCTATTCAATATCATTATCAATGACCTGGAAGAAAATATAAAATCATTGCTGGTAAAGCTTGCTTATGGTACAAAAATTAATATAGTGGTCAGTAATGTTAAGGATAGATCAACTATACAGAGCGATCAAATGGGAAACTGGGCTCACTTGAACAACATTCATTTTAATACAGCCAAATACTGCAGATATCTAGGAACAAAGAAAATAGGGCACCCTTGTACTATGGGGAACTGTATCCTGAAAAACAAAGGTTGAGAAGGGCTTAGGGGTCATAGTGAATAATCCACTGAACATGAGCTTCCCATGTGATGTGATGGCTAACAGAGCTAATGTGATTCTCTGAAGATAAGCAAGGGAATATCAAGTAGGAGTAGGGAGGTGATATTACCTCTTAATAGAGCATAAGTAAAGCCATTACTGAAATACTGACATTCTGGCATCCACATTTAAAAAGGGACATTGAAAAATTGGCAAGGGTTGGAAAAGAACTACAAGAATGATTCAAGGTCTGAAAAATCTGCCTTACAGGGAGGGATTTAAGAAGTTCAATCTATTTAGCTTATCCAGAAGAAGGTTTAAAAGGTGACTTGATCACAATGTATAAGTACTGACATGGGGAGAAGAGTTCTAATAGCAGAGGGCTATTAATCTAGCAGACAAAGGCATAATGAGATTCAATGGACAGAAGCTCAAACTCATCAAATTCAAACTAGAAATAAGGCACACATTTCTAACACTGAGAATAATTAAACAGTGGGACAATTTACCTAACAGTGTGGTGGCTTCTGCATCACTTGAAATCTTTAAATCGAGATTGGATGCCTTGCTAAAAGATATGACCCTAGATCAACCAAAAGATATGGGCTTGATGTCGGAATTACTGGGTGACCTTTTCTATGGCCAGTACTACACAGAAGATCAGACTAAATGTTCACAATGGTCCTTTCAAGCCTTAACATCTATTGGGCAGATCATCAGCTGGTGTAATTGTCCATGAAGTCAGTAGAGCGATGACAATTTACGCAAACTGAGGATCTGCCCCATTATGAATCGGTGAAAGGAAATGTTGAAGATTTAGAGCAGTGGTTCTCAAACTGTGGTTCAGAACCCCATTTTAATGGGGTCGCCAGAGCTGGCTTAGACTTCCTGGGGCCCAGAGCTGAAGCCAAAGCCCGAGCCCCACCACCCGAAGCCGAAGCCTGAGGGTTTCGTCCCTGTGTGTTGGGACTCAGGTTACAGGCCCCCTGCCTGGGGCTGAAGCCCTTGGGCTTCAGCTTTGGCCCCCTCCTCTCCCCGCCTGGGGCAGTGGGGCTCAGGTGGGCTCAGGCTTTGGTCCCCTCTCCTGGGGTTGTGTAGTAATTTCTATTGTCAGAAGGAGGTTGCAGTGCAATTAAGTTTGATAACTCCTGATTTAGAGCACCTCCAGATGCCAAGTAGGGCATTGGGTGGCAAAAGGCTACCCCTAACAGAAGTTATGGGGAAGGAGGTTTCAAACATGGCCAATAAGATATTAATGGGAATTCAGTGTCATAAAATCATCTCTTATAGATGACTGTACTGTATATGTTATTTCTAGACATAACAGAAATTTGGTCCTTTCTTTTGCAATGTTTGCGTCTCAACTTTAACATAAATTCTTAATAGTTTCGTCTGTTTACATATTCAAATCCTTAATCAGCTGTCACTTGCACTGATGTAAATTAGGAGTAGCTCCTTTTAAACAAGTGGCATAATGTTAGTGTAAAATCAGTATAAGTCAGAGGAGAATTAGGCCCTTCATTAATAATTCATTCAAAGAGGTGTTACATGATTTGCTTCAAGTCTTGTGTCATATTTTGTTATCTACACTCCACTGAACATAATTCAGCACAAGGAAAAAAGGAGGATGCATGCATGACCATCATTTGTATTGTCTAACTTGCATGATTGTGTTCTGTTCCTATGCATGATCATTTGCACTGTAATCTCTCTATCTCTAACAGCCATAATGTTTTTGTCTCTGTCACACATAGTGTAGTTGCAGTAGTTTGGGGCCAGCATGGTTGGACATTGAACAAAAACATCACATTAAAGAGCAAATGAAAATTATTAAGATATCTATTTGGGCAGTATTCCAATGATCATTTGCTTTGTAAATTATTTTGCATCTTGGCTTCCAAAATAAAAATTGGGTTAAAACTATAAAGTTAAGAATGCACTAAATCTAAAAGTGAAAGATAAAATTAGCAAAAGGGACAGTAGTTGTAAAAAGTCTGCATATGGCAAAAATAGGTAGTCGGTCTTGCAAAAAATTTGCTCCTTTCAGAAATGTGCAAAATATAGTTCCAGGACTTGAAAGAGTTATGTAATTGTTAGGGCTGTCAATTAATCGCAGTTAACTCACACGATTAACTCAAAAAACTTAATCGTGATTAAAAAAATTAATCACGATTAATCACAATTTTAATCACACTGTTAATAAAATACCAATTGAAATTTATTAAATATTTTGGATGTTTTTCTACATTTTCATATATATTGTATTCTGCGTTGCAATTGAAATCAAAGTGTATATTATTTTTTATTACAAATATTTGCACTGTAAAAATGATAAACAAAAGAAATAGTATTTTTCAATTCACCTCATACAAGTACTGGAGTGCAATCTCTTTATCGTGAAAGTGCAACTTACAAATGTAGAATTTTTTTTGTTACATAACTGCACTCAAAAACAAAACAATGTAAAACTTCAGAGCCTACAAGTGCACTCAGTGCTACTTCTTGTTTAGCCAATCGCTAAGACAAACAAGTTTGTTTACATTTACAGGAGATAATGCTGCCGTCTTCTTATTTACAATGTCACCAGAAAATGAGAACAGGCATTTGCATGGCACTTTTGTAGCTGGCATTGCAAGGTATTTACATGCCAGATATGTTAAACATTCGTATGCTCCTTTATGCTTCAGCCACCATTCTAAAGGACATGCTTCCATACTGATGATGCTCGTTAAAAAACGTATTAATTAAATTTGTGACTGAACTCCTTGGGGGAAAATTATATGTCCCCAGCTCTGTTTTACCCACATTCTGCCATATATTTCATGTTATAGCAGTCTCGGATGATGACCCAGCACATGTTGTTCATTTTAAGAACACTTTCACTGCAGATTTGACAAAACGCAAAGAAGGTACCAATGTGAGATTTCTAAAGATAGTTACAGCACTCGACCCAAGGTTTAAAAATCTGAAGTGCCTTCCAAAATCTGAGAGGGATGAGGTGTGCAGCATGCTTTCAGAAGTCTTAAAAGAGCATCATTACAATGCAAAAACCACAGAACCTGAACCACCAAAAAAGAAAATCAACCTTCTGCTGGTGGTATCTGACTCAGATAATGAAAATGAACATGCATCCGTCCGCACTGCTTTGGATTGTTATCAAGTAGAACCCGTCATCAGCATGGACGCATGTCCCCTGGAATGGTGGTTGAAGCATGAAGGGACATATGAATCTTTAGCGCATCTGGCATGTAAATATCTTGCGATGCCGGCTACAACAATGCCATGAGAACACCTGTTCTCACTTTCAGGAGACATTGTAAACAAGAAGCGAGCAGCATTATTGCCTGCAAATGTAAACAAACTTATTTGTCTGAGCGATTGGCTGAACAAGAAGTGGGACTGAGTGGACTTGCAGGCTCTAAAATTTTACATTGTTTTATTTTTGAATGCAGTTCAAATAATTCTACATTTGTAAGTTCAGCTTTCATGATAAAGAGATTGCACTACAGTACTTGTACTTGTAGGTGAATTGAAAAATGCTGCTACTTTTGTTTTTTTACAGTGCAAATACTTGTAATCAAAAATAAATATAAAATGAGCCCTGTACACTTTGTATTCTGTGTTGTAATTGAAATCAATATATTTGAAAATGTAGAAAACATCCAAAAATATTTAAATAAATGGTATTCTATTATTAACTGTGCGATTAATCGCGATTAATTTTTTTAATCGCTTGACAGCCCTAGTAATTGTGTATTTTCTTCAGTGTACCAGAATAAACTGCCTGTTCTAAATGTGTAAAATCATTTTACTGTGCTCTTTTATCCTTTCCAGAACCACAAAAGTAATGGTGAAATGAATTTGATATTATTGGCTTGTCAGAAAATTGGGCACTAATATGATAGAAAACAACTGACATTTTCCATAACCAGATTCACAATTTAATAAAATTTCATTTTTGCAGATCGATATCACTTTGTCTCAGTTTCAGAAATGTGAACTGAGAAGGGGAAAGGCTTAGTGTCTGCATATCAGATTCTAATCTTGAAAGCATGAAATAAACAAGGAGACAAATTCATATAGTAAAGTCTGGAATCTGTAGAAAGTCTGCCAGTTTACTTTGCATTGGTCCTGCAAAGTAGTGGCAGCACCTAGAGTAGCTGTGGATATGTAAAAACTGTACAAGCCATTAATATAGTGTGAAAAAATACATTTTGTGACAAAGATTTTTCTTGGGAAAATGTCTTTCATGTTATGCTTAGCATGCATCAAAGGCTTTTACATTTTGGATGGTGGTTTAGAATGCTGAATAACATATCTATATAAAGTGGTTGTTATATTAGCCTTATATTTTGGAGTGCATGTTGATATTGCTGAATTTTTGTGGGGATTATAGAATGCATATTGTATATTCTAGTTGCATTGGTTCAGATCTATATTGCAAGCATTGACGTTTGTTCCTATGCCAATTGTTTATAAGTACCTTAAGTGACTGGGTCCTTTCTTATACAATATTTGTATGTGTAGTTGTATATATGGGTTTGCACACTAATGCTGCCTGGAGCCGATGGGTCTCTGCAGAAAACAAAATTATACAGAGTTTGGTATAGTATCGAGTGGGATAATGTGAGTCAGATATATATTAAATCAGGGTGTGTTGGCTGTTTTAATGCTACACACTGTAGAGATAGGAGTAGGTAAGGGATTAAATTGTAACAGTAGATCCTCCATATTGGCGGTCAGATATCCTCCATAGGTGCCCTGCTCCAAGAATTTCAGTGGCTCCACTTTCTCACAGTAATAATGGCTTCCAATCAATGGTATCTTTGACAGATGAGACACCATTGGATCAATTACTACTCAGATAATTGATGCCCTTCATAGTTAGGGTTAAAATTTCATGTATTGTGCAGGGGGCCTGAGTTCAGAAAGAGATTTAGATACTTTGCTGCTTAGAAAGAAGCTTCTCTTCCTCTCTCCTGGTCCCTTAACCATTGTGAGAATATTTTTTGTGCCCCGCTGACCTCTGATATAACGCTTAACACATCACTAAACATAGGGTACAATATGAAGCAGGGAGAATCCTGAGAGGTACTGCTACCTTGCCCTGTTATGAACAACAATTGGTTGCTAACTGGTTGTATGGGTGAGATACTGATACATTATTTTTTAAGGTACAGAAAAGAAGTCTTAAGTGTTCTTAAATTTTTCAAAATAATGGGGCAGATCTTCAGCTAGTTTTAATCCAGTTTACATCAGCTGAGGCTTGGCCCAGGTACTTTAGTGTACAAAACAGCTGCTTAGGGATGTGTTCATGTGAAGGCCTGCAGTAATTGTATGCTTCTTCTTTTTTTTCACTTACTTAAGGTGGTTGTGAATGCCCTGTTAGGCGCCATCCCTTCCATCATGAACGTTCTGCTCGTCTGCCTCATTTTCTGGCTCATTTTTAGCATCATGGGAGTGAACCTGTTTGCAGGAAAGTTTGGAAAATGCATTAACAAGACAGCAGGAGATATGCCTTTAGACTCTAAAGTTATTAATAACATGAGCGAGTGCATACTCTATAACGTGACAGGCAATTTTTACTGGACAAAAGTTAAAGTCAACTTTGATAACGTTGGTGCTGGTTACCTGGCTCTTCTACAGGTGGTAAGTTCTATCAGAAACACTTTTTCTTGTTAGGTAGATATCGAGTGGTCCAGGGCTGGGGCGGCAGGGGGCACGGGGGGGG